AATATGTTGGAACTTATCGGAGACCAACAACTGAGAAATGTAGCAGTAAGTTTATACTTTAAATTACCTCATTTTTACCTTCTCCAGAACCTAAAACAGCATGTATATCATTGACATAAATGGGTAAGATTTTCGTATAATTTAGCAGAACAATTTCATTTTCAGGGTATTGGTAGTCATATAATGAGTGCCAGTCCTTTATCTGATATCAATCCCATGTTGATCGCTGCTGAGGTCACTCTTAATGTTGCTTCTCACAAAGGTATGTCACGTCATGTTTGCTACATATACTAGTTAAGTTATAATGGGTATTCCTTGTTCTCGCGAATATTGCCATAATTCTGTTCTGTAAAATTAGTTACCTGGGATTAATTCAATTGTATTTTGTTTTGATTAAGATGGCAAGAGAACCGTATCCCTGGACGATAAATTCTTTACTGGATTCAGGAGTACATGTCTAAAACCAGATGATGTTTTAGTTAGCTTGACAATTCCGTGTTCGAAAAAGGTAATGTAACTCACAGGTGCTGTCTCCCTATATTATATTTATCCACGCTGTGTTATATAGAAAATGCATTAGAGGGTTTGTATGTGTTTTATATATTTCTGACATTCGACTGTTTGATTAGTTTATAATGTTTAATGCGTTTATATATTATAACGGCTACGTCACAGAAATAGAAAGTAATATCACTCAGCTGACAATTGAACTAACAGAAAACCTAATATATTCAGATGAACCTTTGATATGGCGTGTCGTCACGGTGAGCTACGACGTGCATAGTATTACTTAATTTATAGGGTGAATACTTTGGAGGATACAAAGTTAAAAATCAAGTTCATCGTCGAGACAGAGACGTGGCCATGGTAAGTGCTGGCATGAAAGTATTATTCCAAGACAACACTGATGTTATCAAGAATATAAACCTTTCTTTTGGTGGAACTGGACCTACTGTAGTCATGGCAACAGAAGTAATGGGTCGAATTCAAGGAAGGTAATGCGGGAGGTATGGTCTCACTCCGGGCATGGGGAGAAAGTAACCATATAGGCGTCCTTTGCAACACTGTTAAAACAATGCATGCGGGATTTGTCGTGAATTATCGATGATGCACCAGGGTATACCGATTTGGTCAGTGTTCACGAAGTGCAGCGTTCACATCACCAATCATGTATTCAAATTCCACATTATGAAATGTTGTTCTGAAACTTATCCATTTTCATTTCGCATTGTGAAAATCAAATCACTATTTCTCGGAACATTGCATGTTGCCAAAAAGTCTATGCCGGCGATTTTTGTGGAGATAAATTATTTATTTGCATGGTTATAATAAATTATAATCTAAATTCCATTTTTCAATACATGTAGTCGAGTCTTTGTTTTAATGTTGGTATATGATCACGTATTGTATTGCAAACAAATATATAATATTTCGATGATGTGTATTTCTCTCAGACTGTTAGCTTAGTCTTTGTGGATTGATTGTCAAGCTTTGTTTTGGACTTGAAAATACTCGTTTACAGCTATAAATTTGAATATCGCTTGTAATGACATTAGTTCTTGCGTATGTAAAGTTACAAATCAGGTTTTAAAAACTGATACTCGTTTTCAGGAAATGGGATGAGTGTTTTCTCAATGATGTTCAACAAATGTTGGTAGAAAGTGTGCAACTGTCGGCAGAAGGCGGGTTTTTAGAATATCGAAGGAATCTGTTGCAGAGTTTCTTTTTTGAATTTTATCTACACGTACAAAATGGGCTTAATCAGGAACTAGTAAGTATGTTTTGGAAGGGTGTCGATGGAAGATTGTAGGGTGTCACTTTACTTTCTTTTGTTGGGACTGTATTGTCCATGTATTTATCCAAACTGAAATTACAGATCTTGACAACTAACTTTAGAAGACGAAAACAAGAAATATTACCAGTTTATAGGAAATAGTACATGTTACCATTTCTTTTTATTTTCAGCCTGACACTGTCACACCAGTGCCGTCATCATATAAATCAGCTCTAACCCCACTTGAGATGCCACCTAGCAGCAGTACACAGTTGTTTCAGGTAAAATGCGTACAGTCACAATTAGGATGCGATCTACCATTACACTACATTGTTTATGTTTATTATTCATAAAATAGATAATCAAAATCATTGTTATGTCATGTGAATATTAAAATGTATATCTAAAAATTTTACTCAATCAGTGTTATCATAATAGTGATTATTAGTCGATTATAATTGCTTCTATTTGTGTAGGATGTACCAAATGGACAATCAGTGGATGATCCAGTCGGTCGACCAATCATGAATGAATCAAGTTTACAGTTAGCCACTGGGGAAGCTATCTTTTTAGACGATATCACGCCTGAAGAAGGTAGCTTGAGTAGTTTAGATTATTTTGATTTTAATTCGTTTTATCGTCTCCTGTGTCTAGCCTCCTTATATTATCTGTAAAAATTGTGTTATTTTTTGTGTGTGAATAGCATTATGGAAAATACAGTTATAATTGTAGTGGTACGTTTTTACCTTGCATTCAGGTCATAGATCTAATATAATATAATGTACTGTACAGCTTAGAGGATTTGAACGTAGCTGCCCACGCCATTCAAATACAATTAGCACTGTATTTCTGCTCCAATTACAGGTGAATTGCACTTGGCACTTGTGACAAGCAAACGTGCATGTGCCAAACTTGTGTAAGTAATTATTGTATACATTGTCTCTCTTTTTTGGAACACTTGTTTTTCGGAAAGGTTACTGTATACAACTATATCCTAGCCACATTCTTGACATTTTAATATAAAATGCATCAACAAATATCTGATGAGCCAAGTTATCGCGTGGGATCACTAATAGTTTACAATGTGTGTAGCTCTAGACAAGTTATAGTTAATTCTAATGATATGTGACACTTACATATTCAGATGTTTACGTCTAATTGTTATTTGTTGCAGATCCATTGACGCATCGGAAGCAACGTCACTCGCAGGCGTTAGCTGTTTTGTTGGGGCGTCGGATGTCCCTGGAAAAAATGCATGGAGTTCATTAAACCCAGATAATTTGGATGATTTTATTTTTGCCCCAGACGAAGTAAGCTCTTACGTGTTTAGTGCGTATCTCTTCTATAGAAAAACGGACAAACGTGTTTTCACCAAATAATTTTTAACCTTCTAAATTGTATGACACTTCAGAATAAGCTTATGTATTGCTTTGCAGGTTTTGTGTATTGGTCAAGTTATTGGTGGAATTGTTGCAGACACACCCCAGTTGGCACGCAAAGCATCAAAATTAGTGAAAGTCGAATATGAAGAACTGGAACACATTCTTACTGTTGACGTGAGTAATCACTTATTTTTTAAATTTAAATTGTGTCATGTGACGAAACGGTTACTGGTTCTGCCTTCACCGCTTACCTCCGTCGTGTATACGACATAGTATACTGAGTAAGTCATGTTTGTGGGGAGTTGTTGGTTTTCCTCTCAGTAAATGTTAATATGGACGAGCGAACATTCGCAGAATGAGATCAGCAATTAACATTACATCTTCCTGTAGTTAGGGAGTATGTCGCGTGCAATTGAAAGTATTCCCACTACTTAATCTACTCACGATCACGAGGTGCGTTTTCATGACCATTCATAACAAAGTAAAACCACGTACGAGTTATATTATCCAATCAGATCTTGCATTCCCAATCATGTCAAATAGGTCACGTGATTGTGATATGCATATAAACGAGGATACGACACCCGGGTGCTTGACTTTACTAAGACTTGACTATTTCAGACAAATGCATATAGGTGTATATTCCAGCAAATTCATGGACACATTGGATTATATACCATATTGTATCAGACGTCGTGGCGATAAAGACCCCGGCTTAAATATCCACTAACCAATGACACGTCCGTAGTGATTCCATAGTATTACCAACACGATATCTGTCTATGTTAACAATATGAATATAATTTAACATGGGTTTTATAATATATTTACATTACATTTTAAGGAAGCCATTGACAAAGAATCATTTATGCATCCAATTCGATGTTTAGAAGAAGGAGACTTGAACGGGGAATTCAAAAAATCAGATTTTGTGGTAGAGGGCGAAGTTCGTGTTGGTGGTCAGTATCATTACTACATGGAGACCCAGTGCTGTATTGCACAACCAAAAGAGCGCGGTGAAATGGTGGTGACTGCGTCATCACAGACAATGTCAAATACACAGGTTAGTTAGTAAAATACTTCAGGTGTACTTTATAAAATTAAGGGCTTAAATAGTTTGAGTATTGCTTGTCATTCCCACCTCTTGCATGTAACTGTATGGGCCAATGACTGCAATTAATTTTCTTTCATTATTTCATTAAATATTGAAGAAATCGGTTCATATTTCGGCAGTTGAATTCTAAGACTAAGGAATATACTTGTTCATGTAGTTAGGCATCTGATATGATCTAGTTAACACACGTTAGGTGATATGCACAATCATTATAATGTATAAAACCCAAATCTATAAATTAATGAAAATGTGTTGAAAAGAAAGTCATCATGAAATACAAGTCATATTCGTGAAATTAAATTACAATTTTCGAAAACACGAGGGGAGAGTGCACACAATATTTTACCACATGAAACAAATTGTGAAAATTGACATACGGTCATTAATGTCATTGGTTAATAACCATATCTCTGCATATAATTGTTTTGAGAAAATTATTGGCTAGCCTGCGCCTAAACATCCGATATGCTCGCCGCAATGTAAACTAGTATCATTATCACAATTACCATTCTGACTGGCTTCAGATCGCTTAATTCGAGTTTACTTCAATATCATTAATTATAACTTCGCATATTCAATGGCATAGTAGCGATCGTAAGCTTTAGACTGGTACAAATATTAAGAACATGTTATGCATATTTAATCATATAAAATCATCTCAGTAATGTTAATATCATATACAGAATAAATTTGTGATTGTATTGTTATGTATATAATTCAGTTTGATCACATGTAATAATAGGTACGTGTAGCAGCAGCTCTTGGTATACCAGCAAATAAAGTGACATGTAAGATACGGCGTGTTGGAGGAGCATTTGGTGGTAAAGACACACGTACACTGAATTTCGTCATGGCATGTGCTGTGGCTGCGAAAAAGTATGTCCTTTCAATCTCATTTTGTTCTGTTGTCAGTTGTTCAAAAACCAACAAGCCAACACTTGGAGAAATATGCTAAATGTTACTAAAATATATAATTATATTTCATTAAGTTCTAAATTATATTGATGTGAAAGGGTATATAATTCTATATATGTGTCAACGTACATATATGATAGAAATTTCTTAAGACCGAAACAAGATCTTTTTCTAGGCCAAAGTTGCGATATTTCATATGAAACTTCAAGAAACAAGATTTAATTCTTTTCAAATAAAAGAATTCCCAAAAGAACTTTTGGTAGCGACACGAGAACTGACAAAAAACAGATATGATTGTTATACAACACCCATATTTTTAATTCATTCGGACCATGTTTATTCCATGTAGGCTAGCAGTGTTTCAGGCTTTCGTTTAACCACACAGTAAACAGTGTAGATTTATAATTATAGGGCTGGAAGGACCGTTCGTCTAGTCATCGGGCGAGATTTGGATATGCAAGCTGTTGGAATGAGGCATCCAGTAGTAGGCAGGTTTAAAGTCGGTTTCAACAAAGACGGCAAGCTTCGTGCACTCGAAAGCGAGATCTTCTACAATGCAGGATATTCCTATGACTTATCAATGGTGGTGAGTATTTATATACACCAGCTTCTGCTTGCTAGTCTACTAGTATTAACAATACAGGATGTAATGTGACACATGCCTTACATCTGTCAGACATATATTATTGTTGAGTAAGTCGTTCTTTAAAAACACAGGTTTTGAGGTTGACGTTATCCATCCGGTAGATAACTTACCATCTGAATTAATCTGGTTATATAAGTTCGATAGTCTATTTTCACAAACAAATAAAATAACTTTTAACATGCATTCTAAAATCAAATACTAACGCAGCCCATAACAAAATCTCATCTGTGAATCATTATTACATGCAAATTGTAACATTATTCGAGATATAAAGTTTGAAATCAATACTTATTTTTCTCTATTCACTATGAATTGTATTTGACAATGTAGCATACAAATAATATTAAATAGACAATGCAGTTATTTCGTTTGTATTTGTATATGTGTGTGCTAATGTTGAGCTGTTCCACTGATATCTACACCTGTTGGATTTTTATGATACTTGTTACATATATGTTCTTAAATAATGCACATACTAATGCTCTGATTAGTTTTGGGTAAAAATCTATGGAAATTAATCACCTAATTTTCATAAAGATTTGTCAATTTCTGCTTTTCCACTGATATCTCAATATAGATGCTCTAGGACAAAGCACAGACCTGCTCAGTTTGATGTTAAAATCTGTTCATATTAATTACTAAATTTGCATAATAATTCCCAAAGATAACTCAAGTTCTATCACATTTGCTTATCAGTTTTACATTACAATCTGTGCATATTAATTTCCTGATTTGCATAATAATTTGTTTTATCAAAATGTCAAGTATCATCTTACTTCAATGAATCCTAGTTCATACTCAAAGACAATTCGACAATCTAATTAATTTAGGGTTTATATACATCCATAATTTGCATAATAATTTATTTTCGGCTTTCCACCAATTTTTAAAGAATAAATTAGCACATTATAATGAAACCGTGTACATATGTGCCCTGGACCAATGTACAGACTAATTTGTTTTGGGTTGAAATCTATGAATAATAATTTCTAAATTTGCATAATTATTACCCAATTTTCTACCTATATCTCAAATACCAATCAGCACACAGAAGCTCTTTCTGAGCTTCCTTTGATCTATAATAGGCACTGCAATAAGAATCACATTCACTCACATAAAATTATTTTTGTAAATTATATTATATATATGTATTCAGTTTTGTGTGTTCATGTATTTTGTCAGTTAGTAGAAGCCGGGATGCACCAATTACATAATGCATATGCGATGCCTGCATATAAATTGACTGGGAAGGCATGTCAAACTAATATTCAATCGAATACATCAATGAGAGCAGCTGGAACAGTGCAACCTATGGCAATTATTGAAACAATTATGGACACTGTGGCGATAAAGTGCGACATATCTCCATCGAAGGTGAGACTGCATTTATATTGTATTACCGTTTGTACTGGATGTGTACGGGACGGCCTAAAACACTATATTGATTTTATTTCACCGATGTTCTAACTTTTTGGAACTGCTAGATTCTCACAAACACATTTAAATTGCCGAAGTTGATTAAAGGAATTGCAAAATAAATGGTCTACTGACAACAACAAATTATCTGTATTCTCACATTATTTACGAAATGATTTCGAAGACTATATTAATAATATCGTGAATATGTTTCAACAGTTGTAAATGACCGAGTATTATTATGAAAACATGAAAATAAATAACTTCTAATTGAATTGTTTACTTATATTGTTTCTAAATAAAGGTACTCGCAATGCTTTATGATGACATCAGCGTTATTTTAATCACAGCAAGGCATTTTAATCTAAGAACCTGAAACAATATTTAATATAGTGCAACATATATGTCTATTTCAGATCCGAGAGATAAACCTGTATAAGGTTGGCGATACAGACCACTTTTATCAAGACATGCCAGATGTGATGAATCTAAAACGATGTTGGGATGAGTGCCTTGTGAAAAGTGGTTTCCACATACGTAGACAAGAAACGGACCAGTTCAACAGGTGTGTACAATTGCTTTACTGTGTTCAAATTATGGAATTTTATATTTCATATCTCTTGGCTCTGCTACAAGGACAAACATTTTGAGAACCGAAATTATTTTTATTTTCTAATTAATATTTCAATCCATAACAATATGCATTTTATTAAACAAAAAACAATTTCAAGTTAGGTTTACGATAAATTTTTACTTGATCTTTGATAATAATTTTATTTATTTGTTTGTTTGTTTGTTTGTTTGTTTGTCTGTCTGTCTGTCTGTCTGTCTGTCTGTCTGTCTGTCTGTCTGTCTGTCTGTCTGTCTGTCTGTCTGTCTGTTGGTTTGTTCGTTCGTTCGTTCGCTCGCTCGCTCGCTCGTTCGTTCGTTCGTTCGTTCGTTCGTTTATTTATTTATTTATTTATTTATTTATTTATTTATTTATTTATTTATTTATTTATTTATTTATTTATTTATTTATTAATAGTATAGTATATAGTATATGGTATTTTCTTATAGTTGGATAACACTTTATAAAACCCATGCGTGTGTTTAAACGCACTGTTTTATATTCACACGTTGTTTACGTTATTAACAATAAATTATGTTTAGGTATGTATGTTATGAACGTGAGAGATACTGATTATTATTTTAGTATTTTTTGTCTTATAGAGATAATCGTTGGAAGAAACGAGGACTCGCTATCGTTCCTATCAAAAGAATGACGGGTCTTCCGGGTTCATTCCTGAATCAAGTTAGTTGTCGTTTTCTTAATTGCCGTGTTTTGTGAGTGCACATTCAAACGCGTCATATCACGTGGAGGCTGATTTGTGTCACACAAAAATAATTATTTGGCTGAAATATTAAAATTCTCAGGCATATTAATTTGATAATTAATATGAAAAGTAATAGTTTATATAAAAAATATATAAATAATATTATACACAACACACAATTATAAATTGTGGAGGAGTGTTTCAGAGTTTTAACTAAATAAGGTAATGACATGTATCAATAAAAGATAAGAGCAAGTGAGAGGAACATATATGAATCTTATTGAATACACCCAATAAATTATAACGAGTGTTTTGAAAAGAGAACATACATCCTAGTGCACTTGTATTTTCTGTCATATATCGGTCTGACTCGTAATCACATGTTAGAAACAGACAAATGGTATTTATGCGATCTGCAATTATCTACAGTATTTCTGTAGATCGATTAAATAATTATATTGACACATTATTTTTGAAATCAAACTAAATTTGGTGCACAGATATAACCTGTATATTTAATATGTATGTATTAAGTAAATTGCCTCTTCTTTAAATATAAACTGTGGCTCATATAGGGCGCTGCATTGGTGCATATATATATGGATGGTTCAGTGTTACTTACCCATGGTGGTATAGAGATGGGTCAAGGGTTACATACCAAGACTATACAGATTGCAAGTCGTGTTCTACGTATACCCTCTGAACGCATTCATATCAATGAGACCAGTACCGATAAAATACCCAATGCGACTCCTACTGTTGGTTCATCGGCAACTGAACTCTTTGGCAGTGCTGTGAAGGTAAACATCACAATCCTCATATAATACCGTATACTATAAGGTATTTTAGGGTTTGCTTTTCCTGGACACGCCCATCGTTAATCAGAATCTATTGACCCTATGTAGAGAATAATGTACGAGTACGAGGACTCTTCGGGATATAATAGCCAATCCGAGATGGGATGTGAAGGCTGCAGGCCAAGACATTTTATAGCGAGTAGGACTTTCTATAAATAAGAGTCCGACTACGAGGACTTTATGCTATAAAGTTTATTACGCATACATGAGTGTCGCACACTTATAGCCATTGTGCATATATATTTCCCACCCTCAAATTGTGGTAAAGCAAAAATATGCATCAACTTATGAATATTCGTGATCAAACTAAAAGAAGAAATAGCGCAAAATAAAAAATGGCATTGTGTAGCAGGTAGCTCAATGGACAGAAAGGTGTATATCTCATCGTCCGTTGCATTTGTGAGAGTTCCAAGCTCGATCTGTGGTAACTAGCACAGTAAAGCGATAGATAAGTTTCAGTCACTACATGCAATGAGATTATTGTTTTTTACTAGATTGCTTGTGAGACATTGATGGATCGACTGGATCCATTCATGAAAGAAAATCCCAAAGGCTCATGGGAACAATGGGTAAGTGTGAAGAATATTTAGTATCTGTAAAATGTTGACCATATGATGTGAAGGATTCCTTTTCAAATATCATGACGTAATAGCTTGCACTAAACATTTTCTATGATGTAACTTATATCATCAATATTGTTTTGTTTTGTATTCGTCCGTCAATGAAATAAATTTATAGAATTACTACATTCTACTAACGACTACACATCCATACATACGAGAGATCGCGACGTGCGTGTATTCTGTAACAAGTTGTTGAAGAGCGGGGAATGAAATACTAAACTATTCACTGTCATGTTCGCAGGTTAGTGCAGCCTATTTCAACAGGGTGAGCTTATCGACTACCGGGTTTTATAAGTAAGTAACCATCAAGTTAAATAAATAATTCAACATATGTTATTTCAAGATCAACATGAGTGCAGCCTTCTGTTCAAGGTTAATTCAAGGATGTCATATAATTTCGTTGAGCAAAACATTGACATGAATAATGCATAATCTATAATGTAGCTCTTACAAAATGGTATTCATAAACCGTGACCACTTTATTCAACGCAAATCACTTGATGACTAAGTAAAGAAAACCACAAAACCCACAGTGTTAGATTAATTGTGTCTATTTTAACACTACTAAAAATGAAAATATTCACGGAAAAATGTTCATGTCAAGTTGAGGTCTGCAATTTTCTGTTATTTAGTTTTGTCATAGGTAACAAATTATATAAACAAACATTTATTATACTTCACTTTGGCATATAAATTATTTCTGCAACTGTTTGCAATGTTTTATGTCACTCGTAATGTTATAGCGTTTGTCGATGCAATGCTGTAAGGACTACAATAAGATATGTTATGCTTTAATCAGTAACTTTCTTTTTATCTATTTTCGCTTCACATACCTTTAATTGGGGAACATTATAGCTATCAACACATATAAAGAATGTCGTTAAACAGAATAAATAACCCTTTAATTTATTAAGATATCCAGGGGAAATTGGTTTCAATTGGGAAGATCATCGCGCCAGTCGGCTGGTGTACAACTTTATATATGGGGCTGCTTGCTGTGAAGTTGAAATCGATTGTTTAACCGGTGATCATCAGATGAGACGTGTTGATATTGTTATGGATGTCGGGAAAAGTTTAAATCCAGCATTGGACATTGGACAGGTGAAGTGTGCAATGTTTTTTATTAAACCATAATTTGCATAAGAACGATAACAGTTAACAATATTATTGTAAAGTGTATTATATAGATATCATTAACGCATTAGAATATAAACAATGAGTTGTTTTGATGGACTATTAAATATTGTTTAATGCGGAGTAAAAATAAAGATACCACTCACCAGACAAAGCTTTCAATACCATCAGAATGTTGGCCATATCTTTATATTTAGCGACAGATCATTCCATTCAATGAGTTAATGCACTATATGAATACTTACTATGACACTGGCCTGTTGCTATCTCGTTATTGGTAACATATTAGAAACATATTATCTAATCTGAGATCAAACATATCACAGGGATTGATCAAGGCACAAGGTACATACAAGATATATTCACATGGTCAGTTTTACACTTAATTCTAATAGGAGTAAAATGGTCACAACACACAACTATGTTCTGTTGAAATATATATTTCGTCGTTCGGTCATAGAATATATGTATATACAATATAAATATACTGTAGTTTTTTTCCTATGTATATCATTTATTGGCATGAATATTCATAAGACATTTTTGTACATTTCTACTTACAACCGTGGCTTGTAAAACAAAAAAATATCAGTTAAGCTTGATGGTTAAATTAACACACGAGACACGTTCATTACGTGCTTGATGTTTTACAGTTGCTGCACAAATTGTGAAGTGTAATGTATTTTATCACCATATAATGAAATCTCCTCATAACGCTTTCTGTAGATTGAAGGTGCTTTCATGATGGGATATGGTTTATTTGTTGTGGAGGAATTACGATATTCACAACGAGGCGAACTACTGACCAGGGGACCGGGAATGTATAAAATACCATGCGTCAGTGATATACCAAGACAGTTCAATGTGCATTTATTGAAAGATGCTACTAACCCAAATGGTATCTATTCTGCCAAGGTGAGTTAATTATATCAGAGGATATATCATTGGAGAAGTGATAATTGCAAACCATAAACGTCAAACTATTCATCGATTTTTACTAAATGTAGGACATACCTACCAAATTGAGTTGATCATAACTATGATATAATAATAGTAATGTTGTCAGGAAGTGCGAATTAATCGATGAAATTATTGAGAACAAAATGTGTAGTACCTTGTCTAAAACTGTTTTTATTAACCAATTGAAACAATGCATTGTATGTGTTTAACTCTAGGCAATTGGAGAACCACCATGTTTACTTGGAGTGTCGGCATTGGTTGCCATTAGAGATGCAATATCCTCAGCTAGATCAGATATCGGTCTCCATGGCAACTTCCAGCTTGACTGCCCAGCGACACCTGAAAGAATCCGCCTCGCTTGCAGTGATGAATTCCCAAAACCTGACAAAAAGGTAAAGTTTTCTGAAAATTACAATCCAACATAAACATTTCAAGTAAGTGGACAAAGATACCTTGTATGTCAGGTAACGCAATTTATAAAGCTTGAATATTCATAAACTTTTATATTATCTCAAATTTGTATCAAGCATTAGAGATGAAATTATATAAATTTTTATAGTTACAAGAAGTAAGGCAATATTCCTAAAATAGTATATCATCATACTAAATATATACTTATGCGCATCAACAACATTACTATTATGTTTCAGTGTGATGATTATTATTACGTAAGCCTCGTTGTATAATTATTTTGGAGAGATAACCAGGAAAGATATGGTTTCTAATATATATTCCATTTTGATTAAAACATTTATAAAAAAATACGTGTTAAAAGCTGTTTCTTTGAGCCTCGAATCCTTCCCAGGAATGTCCCAAAACAACTATCAAATGTAGAAATAACAAATATGGAATGCCTAAAATATTAGCACCCATGCTATGGCGCGCCAAGTGTTGCAAAAATATCTTATCATACAGAATAATAAAAAACAGAATTTCATGGCCTTTTTCTCAAAATCAAATATATATATATATATATATCTAGAAATAACAATTAAAAACTGAAATATAAAAAAGATTAGTTAAAAAATAGGAGACTGGGGAAATAAAAAAGGGGGCAGGAGCAACAACAAAATAAATCTAAAAAACAAAAAACTTACAAATGAAAAACACTGAAAAATAAAGCAAAAATAAACATACAAGCAAATTAGAAATAATTATAAAAATAACCATAACTAAATAACTTGACATAAATTAATAAAGCAAAAAGTATATTATTATTAGTATTATTCTTTATTGTCCCAGTGTGTTTTTGTTGTAATATTGATATGAATCATAGATATATATATAATGATATGAACTTATTCTTATAATTGCAGGCAACCTGTAGTGATGATTATTTTGTTAGACCATAGATGTTTTTTGCTGTCATTCAACTGGAGTAGAGACCTGAACTCCTGTGCTACCATAGTTATTTGGTTTTCTTAGTAGTAAAAGAAATCTGTGACATAGTATTGTGTATTCAGAATTAAATCCGGAGATCCATCTGAATTTAATTTGGAATCTTTGAAGTAACTTTTTACTGTAAATGTAGATGTGACACCAAATACAGTTTACAATTGTACACTTGCGCTCATGACCCGTGAATGGCGAGTTCGCTGTCCGTGGTAGCTGTCTCCTCAGTAATAAATCCTTCAATTAATCTGTAAATAAATGATATAAGAAATTAAAATCGTAAGTTTATGTTTGCCACGTATTTAGTAGGGCAATAAATTACCTTTCTTCTGAATAATTATACTGTGTACATGTTGTTTTGTGTGTGTAAATTTGGAACAACAGACTGGGATTTAATGTTTTATCTTTTATCGGTTAATTCGTATATACTGTACAAACGACCCAGATTGAACGTCACAACGTCATGTGCAGATACATCTTCTGTTACAGTTTCGCCGAATTTCTCCCAAAAAACAGATTATAAAGATCAAAATATTGTTATAATTTGTTGAAACCATGTACGTAACTCAAACAAGACAGAAAATACATTTGATTTTAAATCTGTGGTTTTTGTCTAATTTATTCCTGAGCATCTCTATCACAAGTTTAATTTAAATCTGATTTTTTGAGGTATCAGAAATTGGCTAATAATAATTAGATAATCAATATGCATGTTTTTCATTATTACACAAATCATGTCTGTGGATTACCCCAGAGTATCTATGAACCATATTTCAATGAAATGTGATGATTGTGCAAATTTGCTTGAATTTCAATCGAAAACTAATTGGTTTTTGAAAACAATTGGGTAATTATTATGCAACCTAAGCAATTATCATGCATAGATTTCAACCCCAAACTACTTCGGTCTGTGTATTGTTCCAGGGCACATATGTACCAAGTTTAATCGTAATGTGATGATTATTTCTTAAAAAAATATATAAAGTACATTAGGTAATTATTATGGATATATATAACCGAAAACTTATTAGATCGTTGTATTGTCTTGTGAATAGTGGAACATACTCAAAAAACGATTTTAAAATATAGATAACAGGTGCAAACATTCTCTCTTTTGAATGCTTAGCAAGATTTAGCAAGGCTGTACATAATAATAAAAAAGAAACATGGTGAAAAAAAGAAATGACGGGATCTCCATATTATGCACTATATTTAACTATTAACAAAACGATAATACATTTAAATTTGGAACTGTTACAGCCATTTTAATTATGAGCATTAGCAAACACCTTACTGAGTGAATGGTTATGCAAATTAGCAATTATCTCAGCTTCTTTTTAGTGCACATCCCAGAAAAAGCTCCTAGACGCTTTGACCTTTTGTTTTGAAATTTTCACAAATGATTGACAATGTGTTTATCTTCAAAACGCCGTCGGGACATTCTTTTTGGTTGAACAGTGTTACAACAATCGTACATACAACTAGCCTGGGTGTTAATTTATGCATAAACTTTAAGTAGTGAAATTTGAGCTGCTGCCCTGCAAAATTGACAACTGGTAGACAGTTTTCAAGACGGCACTTTCTTCATAGTAAACAGATGTACCCATAAACCAATATTGACAGGAAACAGAAGCATGGTTTAGAAGCTATTTTTTTTTAAATCACTTTTTACCAAAAAACACATTTTTGTGCATATTTCAAACTACAGTGTCCATGAAAAAAATACTAACAGCATTTTAAAATTCATACAATGAGCTTTCCGAAAATATATAGTTTTGAGGGAGGTCATCTTGGTTTCCTAATCAACTAATTAAAATACCTGTCAGGTAAACTGCATCTCTACCTTAAATAAGTACTTGAGATATTGGTAATTAATATGCACATATTTTAGTGTAAAACTAATAAGGTTTGTACAATGTAACAGACCATCTATGTACCGAGTTTCATTGAAATGTGATGATTGGTACTTGAGATATCAGTGAAAAGCCAAAAATCTACTAATCATTATAGCGTAGATTTTTACCCACATAATCCTAGAGTGTAATGTAATGATTAGTACTTATTAAAATTACTAATTATAAAAATTACGTAATTTATATACACGAATATTAATCTAATACTTATTAGGTCTGTGCAATGTGCTATGACATCTATGTACCAAGTTTCATTGTAACATGATGATTAGTACTGGAGATATCAGTGGAAAGCCAGAAATTGACCAATCATTATGCAAATTGGATGATTAATATCCACATTTATTCCGCAAACTAATTAAGTCTATGCATATTCCTAGAGCATCTATGTACCATGTTTCATTGAAATGTACTTGAAATATCACCAGAATTATTTAAAAGCCAAAAATTTACTAATTATGCAAACTAGGTAATTAATATGCACGGAGGATATTAACCCAACACTTATCAGGTTTGTGTATTGTCCTATGTCATCTTTTTCAAGTTTCATTGTAATGTGATGATTAATAATTGAGATATCAGTGGAAAATTGACTATTCATTATGCAAAGTAGTTAATTAATAAGCACTGATATCTACCCAAAACTATTCAGGTCTATACATTGTCCCAGAGCATCTAATTTCATCAAAATCCAATGAGTAGTTATCAGTGATATCAGTGGAACAGTCATGGAACAGCTAAAAATCATGCTAATTAGGTGATCAATATGCATGGTTTTAAAACATAACCTAATCAAATTTGCGCATTATCCCAGAGCATATATGCATCAAGTTTCATCAAAACTAACATGTAGTTCTTGAGATATCAGTCGAACAGGCAGACAGACACACACATGCATATATATATATACATGCGTACAGACACACTATCTGCAAAGTCTTCCTTTGTGTGCTTCGCACAAGGAAGTCAAAAATGGTAAAATAAAAACAAAACTATTCCCCATTACTTTGCGCTTCATCCGCCATCCCATAATTATCAGGACTATGTTATATGAGATTTGTCAAAAACGACTAAATTTCGGTCATAATTATAATCAAAACAACAACCTCGATAAACAAAGCTTTACCCATGAGTCTAACAGCTGACGCAATTGTAGTACGCCCTCATACATCGCGTTTCAGGTAAGCCATATGATACGAACGCCGATAGGATATAAGTCCTGGAGTTTGGAGTTTAGCCCTATTCTGTCTGACATTGAAGCTGCACCATGGCCACTACAGAGTCTGTGCGGTCTAGCACTGACATGAGTGACGATTTTGTTGTATACGTCAACGGTAAAAAGGTGAGACAAACATTCTCCGACTCAGATCGCCTAGCTGCAAACTCATGACGACCTACTGACACTGACACCGCTCTCGATAACATCGCGGTTGATTGTAGGTTCAGACGAGTTCAGTGTGTGTCACTGTCGTAATGTAGTGACGTATTTGATCATACGTTTTGATTTGTAAATAGGTCGTGCATTCTGATTGAATGAAATAGACTTGAAACGGTTAACATGCCAACCTATCTTTGGATCACGCAGCTGTATAACATGTAGCGAGTTTGTTTGTAGTCCGACCGTCCGTGGCAGCGAATTTACTTACAGTATGAAATGTGTATCATAAATAATATGGACGAACGGCCGCAAAATATTCAATCTCAATGTTGCCGATTTACGCGTCGCCTATAGAGGGCGCAACTTACAGGAATTGTGTATTCGAAGTTTGTGGTTACTTCGTTTGTTTGTGCATGTTTTAAGAAATTGTGCCAGATTAGTTTTGATAAACAGGAAATTCGAATCTCTCACAACCCAGTGCGCTCTTCCAGTTGCAAGCATGAATGCGGCGATGTGAACTATAAATATTGACTTTAACTTTTTAGAGTATTTTTTTCATGCGTCCCAGGAATATCCTAGTTAAATCTAGGTAGTGAAGCTGTAATCACCTAATTTGCATTTACTCCAATTTTATCTATCTCACTAATATCTTGAATTACTTCATTTGCATGATATTAATTAGCCAATTTTAGGTGTTAGCCAATTTTTTGCACTAATTCAGTGAAACTGGTAGTTGGGTGCTTGGCGATAATCTACATATCTGATGAGTTAAGGAGTTTAACTCTGCATATAATTTACGTACTTTGCATGGTAATTAGCCGATTTATTGATTTCTTATGTTGTACGTAGTGTTTTCATCTACTACTACCTTGGTCCCAAAGGCTAACGTAAACATTCCCGCGTATTGTTGTAAATCTATGGTGACGATAACAGGTGGGACTGGCCTAATACCTGGGTCTCAAAGGCTAACGTCACCATTCTCACGTATTAATAAAAAGACAAATACAACAACTACTACTTATTTGTTAGTTTACAGACAAGCATGTAGACCCTGAAACAACTTTATTAAACTACATCAGGAGAAAGCGTATCCTTTCAAATGCTGTCAATATTAGTGACGGGAATGGCAAATACGCTGAGTAGAAGTGATGAAATGAATACGACTTCATAGCTATAATATTTAGAACAATGTAGTTGGTGGACAGCAGTGTATCAATAGTTAAATTTAATTTGTTGATTTTTAACAGTAAGACAGTAGATGCTAAAAAATCATACCTGTTTATGTTCGCAAAAAGAAAATATTTATTTTTGTTCATATTGAATATTATATTTCTTGACATTACTTCTTGATAACACATTAAGTATGATTTTTCATGAAACGTTGTTGAGGCAGCAAACATAGTGGACAAACTTGTGTGTTTGGTATTTCATCGGACTATGTACCTGATTTATCAAGATACGATATCAATTATTTCTCCCGAAGTTATCCACATAAACAATTTATTTCTAATGAAAATCGAATTTCAGTATTGTAGAATTTCAGTATTTTCAGAATGCGGTGCATCTCGTATCCCCGTTTTCCGACAATGCAGTCAAACGCAATTATTTGGTTGCTTCGGTTACTGACGGTTCATTTGGCACAGCGAATACATTAAATACATCTTGAATTCGCAGCAAGTTATACCAACGTCGTGATTATAGCTGATGTACTTAGCGTTGACATGTAAATCATGTAAATGTAAATCATCTTTGTTTGTATGGCCTTGACTTCTTGTTCAGTAAGATTAACAGGAAGTAAATTGTCTTGTGGTGAAGGAGGATGTGGAGCTTGTACTGTGATGCTGTCAAAATATGACCACGTGGACAAGAAGATATCGTATCCTTTACTTATATAAGATAAGTTCGTATTTTTGGTTGTCACACATCGGCCACGTATGCTTAGATAGTAGCTGGGTCATAGTCTTAGGTCATTATCCTATGTTTTGTTTTATTTATGCCATTTATTCGCCATATTGCCTACTTATACTTGATTTATAATCAATTGCGTTGTTAAGACTCATATCTGTAATTTAACGAATATTATAAACACAACGGTGAGTCTTGCACTAAATTTTTAAAATTGTATTACTTTCTAAACATCTTGATGCAGACATTATGCTATCAATGCATGTTATACCCCTGTATGCTCTGTACATGGTATGGCTATCACCACAGTGGAAGGTGTTGGATCAACAAAGACAAAGCTGCATCCCGTACAGGTTCGTTCTCAATTCATTACCTCAAGTGCTTTAATTTGCCTGTAATATGTCATCGATTCATGTTACCAAATGTATTATTATTATTATTCTATTTTAAATGCAGGAACGTCTTGCGAAAGCCCATGGTCTGCAGTGTGGATTTTGTTCACCTGGAATGGTAATGTCAATGTACACGTTATTACGGAACAATGCCGACCCTACCATCTCGGATATCGAAAAGTGTCTGAAAGGGAATTTGTGTCGCTGCACTGGATATAGGTCAATATTGGACGGATTCAAGACTTTCGCTCAGGTAGCACGTGTATCTGAAGTGCTTTTTTTTTACCTTTCGTGTAATTTTAGATTGTAGATTTAAAGTTTAGGTGCATATATGAATTGGATTGCATAATATCCTAGTTTTTTTGTTTTTTTTAAGAATGGTTGCTGTGGTTACCTCTCTGTCTGTAATGCTGACCAGCATAATGAGACTGTAAGTTGTTTTTTTGGCGACAGAATCGATGGACGCCTGTGGGTATTTGTGTGCATAGTACTTTGAAATGAATGAAATAAATTCTGAATAATGGTCCAATGATGTTAGCAGCGTCATCATTGTGAACTTTAATTCTGAATGAACTCAATATATATAAATTGTCAATCATTTGGGGAGTGTTTTGTGAATTCATTGTACTCATGATGTAGATGCGAACTCCAAACACGCGTGCGATCGTACATGCACTTCAATTATACGTATATGCATTTGGTATTGCGCCATACAAGTTGAACTTTTTCGTGTGAAAATAAACAAATGTAATAGCCTATAGAATCATTTTCTTCCAGCGCTTGAATCTCTCAGTTGATCTCAAAGATTGTGAACCTTACGACCCTTCTCAAGAACTTATATTCCCACCGGCTTTGCAGGTAATGTGGTTAATATTTTGTTCTCATCCACTTAGACGCAATAGTGTTTTTGTTACTATCGATATCATTAAATGCCCCTTTCATATTATATAATGCAGACGAAGAATTGGTTTCAAACACAAACAGTTCGGTTTGTTGGGGAATCGGTTGACTGGATTCGACCTACCACTTTAAAGGAACTACTCAAATTGAAGACTGGGTTACCAACTGCTAAATTGGTTGTGGGCAATGCTGAAGTTGGTAGGCACATTCACGTATTGATAACAAATGCAATAAAATACATACAAAAAACACTGCTACTGCAGAATGTGGCATAAATGCGACTACTGTACAAAATATTACAATAATGATACACTCCACAACTAATTACACCCTTTTTTTATATTCATTGATTCGCATGTAAAGGATTTGAACCAAGACCCAAGAATATAAAAACTACTTTGATATCAGCAACACACGTACCCGAGTTAAACCAGATTGATATCACAGACTCTGGTATCACATTTGGTTCTTCTGTCACTATGAGTCGTATGTACGACGTTCTCAAAAGAAGAGTCGACGAATTACCAAGTTAGTAGCAATGAAGGGATAATTTCGTGCAAAGCGATTTGTTTTGATAGTTTAACCATATAATTTGATATTGTGCACCACCATGATTAGTAATTAATTGGCTCGATGTCATTAGATGTACGTATTATAACTGTGGCGATCTGTGTTGAATTACATTATTCGATGTTTGTACTAGAGAGCAAGACAAAGATATATAGATCCCTAATGGAAATGTTGGAAATGATAGGCGACCAACAATTGAGAAATGTTGCGGTGAGTAATATTTCAACAAGTAACTGATTACATAATCAACAGATATTTAGTATGTGTTGTACTATTAATGCTTATATTGTTCCATTTCCAGGGTATTGGTAGCCATATAATGAGTGCCAGTCCTTTATCTGATATCAATCCTATGTTGATGGCTGCTGACGTCACTCTTATTGTTGCTTCTCACAAAGGTATGCTTTGAAATCATGCACACATGCATCAATTGCAGAACTGTTACAGAAAACTATGTGAAATGTATTGAAATTAGAATAAGATCATAACTGGGTGGGAACATTATATGTAAATATGATGTGCAATTAAAATTATACATGTTGCTTATTCTGTATTTAATAGATGGCGAACGAACCATAAATATGGATAATACCTTCTTCACTGGGCCTAGGAGTACGTGTCTCAAGGAAGATGAACTTTTAATTAGTTTGACAATAAGATTTTCAACAAAGGTAATTCAATGACTCTCCCTTGAACTAACAATTTATAATCTGAGAAATCTATCTGTTCACAAACGTACTTCTATCTTTTAATCTCTCTTGTAAGTCATCAGATTATATTCCTTTTGTTGAAAATTAACGTACCTAAGATGGTAGCTATTTACGTGGAAGAGAACTAGAAGTAACGTTATGCCTGCTTGTCGCTTGAAATCTCTTCCAAATGCCAATAACCGCCATTAATTTATCTATAAAATAATATATCCATATGCCATTTACAAATGGTTTGCTCCAAAAATGACCGAATAATTCTGCATACAATGTGTGTTATATTTTATCGTGACAAAACAACTGTTGTATTACACCTCGTTCTATAATGTTCAAATCACATTGCACTGCTGTTCAAAACAATAGTTTTCTCATTCATCAGGACGAATATTTTAGTGGGTATAAAGTGAACAATCAAGTTCACCGTCGAGATAGAGACGTTGCAATGATAAGTGCTGGTATGAATGTTTGTTTTGAAGACAACAGTGACGTCATTCGGATACTTACTCTCTGTTTTGCTGGAACTGGACCAACAGTGGTCATGGCAACTGACATGATGGAGCATATTCAAGGAAGGTAATAACATCATTGTGCCGATGACTGCGCAGTATGTTCTTCAGCTATTTGCATTATTGAATTGTTGCCGAAACCTGTGTGAAGGTGATATGAATCTATTGAAATTGAAAGTTGAAACGTTCGTTTGTTTTAGAAAATGGGACGAGTGTCTTCTTAGAGATGTTCAGCGCATGCTGGTAGAGAAGCTGGAAATGTCGAAAGAAGGCGGGTTTGTTGAGTATCGAAAGAACCTATTGCAGAGTTTCTTCTTTCAATTTTATTTAAACGTGCAGAATGAACTAAGTCAACAACTGGTGAGTGAGTAAAGCATGTATAATTATTGAATAAAGCACGTGATATGCATATTGACATAAAACCAGAGACGTTAAATCGTGTCCTTTGGAATGTACCATTTTTATTAATTATTACATTTTGGCTTCTTCTTGAAAACTACATGCTTTGATATATTATATATAGGTACCTTGGGTGGACCTCTAGTATATTTGTTCATTTTGTGACGATATCATTAATTCTATATTTTTAGCGAATAATTGTCTTATTATTGATAAAAAATGTTATTCTAATTTTTCGCTTTGAAATTACCTGCCCGATTGATTTTATGTTTACATAATTTGTTTGATGAAATTAGGTTGGCATGTTCTTAATAGTCGGAACCAAACTTCAATTTAGTGGATTCACAGTGTTTTGTCTTATGCGTGGCTGCCACAATGTTCTTGTAGGACAGCAGAACTATTTCGACTTACTTAATTTATATGCTGTCATGTTTAAATTTACTCCTTAGCCTGGCATTGTTTTTCCGATACCGTTATCATATCAAACAACGTTGAATTCAATGGAATTACCAGCTAATAGCAGTACACAAGTATTTCAGGTATGTACAACACGGACTTAATAAACATGTAATTGTATATTGCATGTTAGAAACAGTCCAACATGCATTAACAATTTCTGATGTAAACCCAGTTAAAAATCCTGAAACATGACTTTATCCTCATTTGTCTACAGGGCGTACCTTGTGAACAGTCGGATGATGACCCTGTGGGACGACCAGTAATGAATGAATCAAGTTTACATTTAACCACTGGACAAGCATTATTTTTAGATGACATAAAACCCGAACAAGGTAAAATAAATAAAATTGTTTATACTTTTACATAATATAATACGAATTTCACTATGTTTATAACTCGCATTGTATTTAACAAAAATAACTGTTTTATCATTCATTTTTTCTCTACATAGATGAACTACATTTTGCACTTGTCATTAGTAAGCAAGCACATGCCAAAATACTGTAAGTATATCATGTTGTTATACAGCATGCCGTAATTTTGCACTGCACTGTCTTTGTGCATACTGTGCAGTATTCTCGTAATAACCTCATATTATTGCGCTAGAAAGGATTCTAGTTTTAAGTCAAAGCTTCGGATGAGCCATGTTTTTGAAATGCATAACATACATGATTTAACATAATCAGTGTTAACAATGTATATATATTCTATTTCATTGGGCTATATAGTCCAAGTGTAAAATAAAATCCTAACCCTGGTTCGTATCCCTTTGCCACGTGGACGTTCCTTGCCAACAAAAAATAAAACTTTTAAATCACAGAACAAGAAACATACAACAAATATCATCTGTTTCAAGTTATCACAGACTAGGGATGTGTATATTGTGATTAGCACAATCACGCGGAAGTACGAGGCTGAATCAGTTACAGCTTTGAAATTGACATCTCACATCTCACTTGGACTAATCACAAATAAAAAAGTTATTTTTTTGCTAATGTTGTGGCATTTTGCCCCAAGCCTCGCCTCGCTTAGGGTTTAGAAATCTGGGGAAATGATCGCCAGAATTGTAACCTCCAATTTTACCACGCCCTCGGCATTCATTTGTCAAAATCTATGACATTGTTAAGCCTCCCTAATTCCACGTTTCTAACTATATGACCTTATCCAGGGAAAAACTTCACACACTTTGCTTTAAAATATATCCATCACAATATCAAAACTAGGGGGACCTTGCCGTACCAAAAATGAACTCTTCCATTGAAAAACTTGCGATATTGTATGCTGGCCTTTATTCTTTTGAATAAGCTTTCTTAAGAGTTGAGAAATTCAAAATTCAAATATAGATTCAAAAGTGTCTGTCTGTCTGTCTGTCTGTCTGTCTGTCTGTCTGTCTGTCTGTCTGTCTGTCTGTCTGTCTGTCATACTTAGTATTGTATGTTTAGAGCTATATACAAATTGTATTCACTAGTACTAGTCAAAAAGATCTGAATAGATTAGCTGTTCAAGCTTATTTTCGTTTCATCTTATCCAAATTATTTTCTTTTCTTTGTTTTGTAGTTATTTGTTCTAATATCTTTCGCTACTACTTTTTTATTTCTTTTTAAATATTAGTTTATTGTTAATTATTTATATAGAAAAGTCGCACGGTGCTTATTTGGGTTGAAGGATGCGTGATATTCAGTTCACCCTTTTCAAAAAAATGTTTGTTGAGAGGTAGGCAAGAGTTTCAAAAGAAATGTGGAGATCTCCACGGTCAGCGGCAGAGACCAAGTCGACCAATGTTGTAACCTTAGTTAAAAAGCAATAATAAGTTTCAACCGGAATGCCATCAACATTGTTAGTGTTGACGGAGGCCATGTGTGAGCAGCAGCCATCTTGGTCGTCGACAGCATACAATATCCAAATAAAAACAAGTTACTCACGAATAACTAGAACAATTCAGCTGAGCGAAAACTGAAAAAAATAAGATTCAGACGGCAGCAAAACATTCGAACATATTGTATTGTACTGTGTGCGAAATGTCTCATGCTTAAATATTTTTTGTAATTTGTAATTTCAGTTCAATTGACACATCGGAAGCGATCTCGCAGGATGGTGTCCATTCTTTTGTCGGGGCCGTTGATGTTCCTGGCAACAACAGATGGAGTTTGATAAACCCTGATAATTTGGAGGAGGCTATTTTTGCAACGGAAGAGGTATGCTTGAAATATCGATGTAAACAGTCCTTTTTGTTTAATAAAGCATGTTTGAGTCACTGATAATGCCAAAAGGTAAAAAGACTTGGAATCTCGTAAAATTTGAAAACTGGTGTTTAATTTGATACAGTTTTGAATTAACTTATCACTGATATTCCATGTATTTTATTTTCAAGTTTTTTTTTCAAGAGGCTAAATATTTTTTTTAAAAAGCGCAGGCACACGAATTGGCTCACCCACTCTTTATTTTCGAAGTTAGTCAAAGCTGTTGAAAATGAAACTGGAGAAAACATCACTGTTGTAACAAACGCGCTTCACGCGTCACAAATACTGTTTAAAATTTACCGACAATAATGATTTTTGCTGTAGTCGTTGTTATTTCTCTTTTGCCTTACAGTTGTTTTTGTAAGGATTATCCGTTTTAAAATATTCAAATGGGAGGAAAACACAACATTTTGGCAGCCATTTCCAATTCTTTATAAACATGTATTTTTTTGTTTTTGAGGATAATCTACACTTGATTTGTAATGTCATAATTTGCAAACAACGATGTTGTGTTAATTGTAGAACACGGGATGTCGACGATACCTCAGTAATAAATGTTACATTTTAGGTTTTGTGTGTTGGTCAAATTATTGGGGGAATCGTCGCAGATACACCACAGCTGGCCCGTAAAGCAGCAAATCTAGTTAAAGTCGAATATGGAGAGGTGGAACACATTCTGACCATCGAGGTATGTACCATTATTATACATCTGTCATCGTAACGCCATAAGTTACAGTGTGCCGTAATTTTGCGGTATTGCACTTAGTATGTTTATCCTACCATATTAGGAAATGCGAATTCCAATTATGAAGCGATTACGCGCGTGAGCGACCTCTAATATTAAAAAAGAAAGAAATCCGTTAAATCTGTTCTAAACTTTTTAGATTTCGGCATTCCCATGACCTATCCTTGGGAGGAAAAGATGTATTATACACGCGTCGGTCGATACTACCGCTGTACTGTCTTCGTGCATAATTTGCAGTATCCTCGTAATAACCTCCGTATTATATTAAATAAACCAATAATTGAATTGTGTTGTCGCATTTTTTAACTGATCAATAATGCGACCAACTTACAGGAACTCAGTATAATATAATCATATTTATGTTACTAAATTATACTTAGGAGGCTATCTGTAAGGAATCGTATATGCAACCATTCCGTCATATAGAAGAAGGTGATGTAAACGCCGAATTTGAAAAATCGGATTTCGTGGTGGAAGGCGAGGTTCGTGTTGGTGGCCAGTATCATTACTATATGGAGAACCAGTGTTGTATAGCACAGCCAAATGAGTGCAATGAAATGTTGATGACTGTGTCAACACAGAACCTTTTTGGTGTACAGGTAAGTTACGTATGCATTATGCATACCTACTACATCCATGTATTTGTTACTTATTGGTCAATTATAATGCCGAGCCATATTTCTAATTCTTTGGTATCATAATTGTTGATAATATGGTGATGAATATTTAAAACCTGGTTTAATAAAATGTGGTAATTTTTCTTTCTATGTTTAATTATTCAAAACCATCGTTACACGTCTGCTCATTACTAGATGCACGTGGCGGACGCCCTAGGTATCCCAGCTCATAAAGTTACGTGTAAAATAAGGCGAGTTGGAGGGGCATTTGGTGGTAAAGATACTACAACCTCCACGAATTTGGCTATGGCATGTGCTGTCGCTGCAAACAAGTAAGCATTTATAACACTGCTGGCACTATTGAAATGTAAATGATACTCAATGATGTCTTCATAGTAAATGAATGTCCCAAAATGATACATCGTTACCTTGAAACTTTGCAGTATATCTGACAGGGCACTGTCGTAATAATGGTACCGGGATCTCGAGCACAATTCCATCTGAAATAAATTACACAAAACACAACACGTAAAAAAGAGACTAACTAACAATTCTTTCTCAACTTCACAAAACGCTCTCTCTGACTCCATTAAGCAGATAGAACGTTCCATCATGAGCGAGATACATAAAGTATAAGCAAGTATTCAAATATTGCCTGTGCTGGTTTCTGTTCAGATAGAAGCGTTTCATATATTTGAGGTCTATTATATGTCCTATTTTGATGATCATACGTACCAATTTTTATTTTGACAAATTTTTCATGATATTTCATCGGGCAATTACAATGACTGGCAGGTAAAACCAACATTATTTTCCAAAATACAAACCAATTCACACTTACAACAATGTTTTGCCATGTGTTACAGTTTTGACATCGTTCTTACATCTAGGACTGGAAAACCAGTACGCCTAGTCCTTGGCAGGGACACGGACATGCAATGTACTGGAATGAGACACCCATTTTTGCTGAAGTTTAAAGTTGGTTTCAACAAAGACGGAATGCTTAGAGCGCTTGAAAGTGAATTGTTCGTGAATGCGGGATATACTTGTAACTTGTCCGTTATAGTGAGTATTACTAGTAAAAAATGAAAGGCAACCTCTCTGATGTTACGTATTTCAAGAGCGCATGGTTGAAATCAAACAACGAGCACTATCGGAAGAGTAAATTTGTCAGGAACATACAATGTGCATGGCCATGTATTCGATAGTATGTTAATTGATATGTCTTTTATTTCGAGCACAATTTTGCCGTAACACACGCCATTTTCTTCAGATAGTAGACGTTATGATGCATCAATTGCATAATGCCTATAAGATTCCAGTGTACAGTATGACTGGTAAGGCTTGCAGGACAAATGTCCAATCCAACACAATCATGCGAGCAGCGGGGACTGTGCAACCAATGGCAGGTATTGAGACTATTATGGATCTGGTAGCAGCAAAATGCGGTATTTCTCCCGAGAAGGTGAGGTGGTGTACTGTAGTCTAATGTCCGTGCGTTTGCTTAATGTATCGGAATGTTCAGACTGCTTTATTTAACACTGTTCATGGTTATTTCAAAATAAATGCTGTACGATCTCTGCGTGTGCAAGTGTGTGCATTTTATGCTATACTTTAACAATATATCTTTGTTTTTAGGTCCGCGCAATGAATTTGTATAAAGTTGGTGACAGTGATAATTTTTATCAAGAGCTACCTGATGTTATTAACTTAAAAAGATGCTGGAACGAGTGCCTTCTGAAAAGTGATTTCGACAGTAGACGTGAAACAATTGATCATTTTAATAGGTTTGTCGATACAAGCACAGTGCGTTATGTAATCAGCCAGTCACTACACCGATGCTGTATAATTTATGACATATGAATTAACATTAAGTTTTTATTATTCACAGAACAAATCGTTGGAAGAAACGCGGATTAGCCATTGTTCCTATCCAGAGAATGACGGGTATAATAGGGATTGTTGCTAATCAGGTGAGTTTATGTGGGTGATAGTAGAGAAGTCAGTCAAGACGATATTTACGCTTCTGAGGCTAGTGAACAACTAACTTTATTTCAGATACTACACACTTAAATACAATAAAAACAGATGTCAAAGTCATTACTGTAAACTTGAAAGGGTGCCGCTAATGGACACTAAAACAGTAGTTGGTCCAACCCGTAGTTGGTCCGGAAGGCAATCAAGCAATGTAAATAACCTTGCATGTTACGTAACGTGGTAACAGACATTGTGTCTGTCTATTCCCGACAGTTTACAGTGGCTTCTCGTGATTTATAATGTCATCTTTATACACACCTCGTGTTGAGTTGCGTGCAAACCTACGTGGGTATACTGACCAATATATGATATACTATTGGGTAACCAATTGACCAGCAAAGTCAATCTAACACAAATAAAATTACATTTGTTCCAAAAACAAAGAAATTATAGAAAAATACATAAAAATATGCAAAGTGCTTCGCCTAAATATTGGCTGAAGAAAATATGGCGTTCTAAGTGTTAAATTACCCAAGATGCAAATATCATTCCATGTTTCATCAACATTACGTTGCTAATTAAAATTGGACTAACTGCAGTTTACCACGGCGACATGTGTGGCCTGGAGATTCAGGACCAGTGAAAGTGTTAAAACTCGTACATTTATTCATTGTTCGCGATCCATGCGGGTAGATATCTAAATATCGTTCAATCATGTCAGGCGTTTTGTGTCACGTGATTTATCTTGTATAATAACTGGTACATTATCACTGATGTATAACTCTCGTACTTGAATACGCACCTTGTCGTGTCCCGTGTCATTGGGTCTACTCCTAGAGTAAAAGCGTGTATCCTCAATTCTGACACCGCATAGACATTCTCAATATTACATAATATGAATTTACACGTGAAAGATGAAAACAGTGACTTTTCGTATCCAACATATAGGGCGCTGCATTGGTGCATATATATCTGGATGGTTCAGTGTTACTTACCCATGGTGGTATAGAGATGGGTCAAGGGTTACATACCAAGACAATACAGATTGCAAGTCGTGTTCTACGTATACCCTCTGAACGTATACATATCAATGAGACAAGTACGGATAAGGTACCGAACGCGACTAGTACTGGCGGGTCAGCAGGAACAGATTTATTCGGCACCGCAATTAAGGTAGTTTTTTTTTCCCTGTATGGCTAGTTAACTGTCTCGTTGGACATTGTTTAATTTGAACAGTATTCATGTAAACTAAATCGTAATTACTACATTATATATCATTTTCAGTTTGCATGCGAGACTATAATGAAGCGGTTAGAACCGTTCATGCTTGGAAATCCTGAAGGATCATGGGAAGATTGGGTATGTTTATGAATTTATGAATACATACTCCTAGAATATAATGCTTTAATGTATTCAAATATTCTTCGAATAACTCACTAATATTCGGTTCAGTGAAATATGATTGCTTTGTTCGAAAATTGTTTTTAGTATACTTTAGTATACCTACGGCCATAATTTAACCTACAAAATTGCATTAAGTGTATTAAATTATTTCTTCTCATTGTACACATCGATGGCGCTGTATATTATTAAACGGTAACATTTGTTAATTAGGTCCATGCAGCTTATTCACACAGGGTCAGCTTATCAGCAACTGGATTCTACAAGTGAGTACACATTTATCACATAGGATTTTTCATATCAGCGTATGAATTAATATATATATTCCTCGAGCTAATCCCATACCATATTCCCCATATATTATATTAAATCCCTGAAATTAAGATAATTATCGGCTATCGAAACGGCGTCCCAAACTTGGTAACTTGAGGGTGGCATACACCAAACGTCAGTCGTTTTATTAAACACCTTAGAAGCAAAGGATTGCTTGGAAACTTATTGAGAACGAAAGAACCACGTAACTTGTTTAGAAATATCAAACAGTGTTTTTGTATATGTTTAATGAAATGAAATTAATGAAAACTCATGAAATTCTAATTGTTAAATGCATGCTTGCATAAAGGTTCCCAGGCGATATAGGGTTCAACTGGGAAGATCACCGCGCCAGTCGTTTGCAATATCACTTTATGTACGGTGCGGGCTGCTGTGAAGTTGAAATTGATTGCCTGACCGGTGAACATCAAATGAGACGTGTTGATATTGTCATGGACATAGGACGAAGTTTAAATCCAGCATTGGACATTGGACAGGTAAAGCGTTCGTTGATTGATAAGGCTTTTTTCAAATATACCTGTTTACTGTCGGTTTACGGTCGGTATAAAAAGGTGTCACAGTCGTCGTGTCGTGTAAACAGTGTATTTACATGCGTTGTTTAGAGTGAAGTTTAGGTAGGTAAAGACGTGAACTTTGGTTGGAAAGTCAGAAAAGTTGGTTGAAAAAGCGAGTTGAATTTTCTAATTTTTTTTTTTTTGGAATGTCGTTATTAAAGTTTTTTGGAGAAGCTTAAATGTGTGGAAAGTCGAACCAATGTTTTGCAAAGTTTTAAAAAGTTGGACGGTAAATAGAAAAAGGTTTGTTGGAATGTTGTAAATGTTGTTGAAAATTCGAAGGCGTTACATAAAAAGTAGTTAAAATTGTCAGGAACACGTTAACGATGGGTGAGAAGACAGAGAAGTTGTGAAAGGTAGTTTAAAAGTCGAAAAAATTAAAATTCATAAAAGAGAAGTTGCAAGTTTTGAGAAGTTTTGATGATTTTGGTAAAAAATTGGTTGAATAGTCGAAACAATTATAGAAAAAAGTTTTGATGGAATGTCGTAAAAAATTGCCAACGTAAAAGTTGGACGAGAATTAGAAGTCGAAAAAGATGGTTGGAAATTCAAAACATGTTGATTTGAATGTCGTTTATATTTGCCTGTTGGGCGTTAATGTTGAGTGGGAATTCGGAAATTTCTGTTTGACATGTAAAAATTGGTTGAAAATACGATACAGCATTACTATAAAACGCGCCCTCTAGTGACAAGGCGCTTCCGTGATGTTAAAATGACCTAGCTGTATAGTCGTTCACCATCTATAATGAAGTAGAATCTGAAAACATAATCTTCATTGATGGGCAAATACAGATCAAAACGACATCGACGCTTTGACATTTACGACATATCGCCCAGATGCATATCTAGTTACGAATTGCTATCTTTTAAAACTAACGTGTGTGCATGTTGTATATTACATTTTTAGATTTGTATTATTTTTGCCTTTTTTCAGATTGAAGGTGGTTTTATCCAAGGTTATGGATTGTTTATTATGGAAGAATTGCGATATTCACAAAAAGGCGAACTACTGACCAGGGGACCAGGAATGTACCGAATACCATGGATCAGTGATATACCAAGACAATTCAATGTGCATTTGTTGGAAGGATCTACGTGTCCTGGTGGTATATATTCTGCCAAGGCAAGTAGATTATGATGATCGACGAGTTCATAGGCAACATGCCAAGATAAAATTGTGTAGACCATCAGTGGTGGGATATACGGAAAGATATGATCTCACTTGTTCCGGAACAACTGACATCAGTTTGGTAACTTTGACGTGCTAAGATGCGAATCTATATATTCGTAATACACCTGCAATTTAAAGCGTACTAATATTTATTTGTGTAATTAATAATTATAGGCAGTTGGAGAACCGCCATGTTTACTTGGAGTATCTGCACTGGTTGCCATTAGAGATGCTATATCTTCAGCCAGATCAGATGTTGGTCTCCATGGCAACTTCTATTTGAACTGTCCAGCGACAGCAGCGAGAATAAGGCTAGCTTGCAGTGATGATTTTCCAAAAACATCAAAAGAGGTACTACTTTTTTATTCGATTCAGTATATATAAATAGGTGACCTAGTTGACTATTTTACCCTTTCCCGCCATGAAAGACATTTGTTCATGACTCCCTATTTTTTGCATGGCGGGAACTTATATACCAATAACTCCAATTCGTATCGTAAAAGATGTTTTCCTGTAACTTTGTGTTGTTCCTATTATCTATTATCATATTACCTATTATTCCTATTAGCGTTTCAAAATAGATATTTTGACCAAATCTAGGTGTGAATCTAAAAAAATACCGCCGATGTTCTGTTGAGAAAATGGAAGCCACACGACCCTAAACTAGTTTTCTGTTTTCTTTGGTCATCACGTTCTCTGTTCTCCGTTCTCCTGGCATCTATTCATAGCATTCATCTATTCATTCATGTCAATGTGTTGACATGAGAGAATGAAATACTACATGAATGGCAAAAACAAGTATCGTGGCTACCTTGCTCTCAACGATGGCTTTTGCTCTAAAGTCATTTTTTCAAATTATTTTTTTTAGCCTACGTGTACTTTTGATTGAATATAATAATGTCATACTCATTATGTAATAACCATGTGGCTGATATCATTCGTTGACGAATCATATTATTATTACAGGTAGCCGATGATTATTTTGTAAGAGCATAGATGAAGGTTCAGAAGATAATTCACAATTCATGGTGGTGGAGTTTACGCTTTTCTACAAGGCTGTAACGATACCAAATTTTTTTTATAATCTTCTAATTTGTACAATTTTCAAGATATATGTGGCTTGCATATGACATATCCATCTTTCCACCAACACTGCTTAATTGGAAACTACTTTGATTCATTACCTGTGTTTCGACAATGTTATTCCGATGATGACATATTGGTGATGTTTTTTTTTTAAGATTTATGCAATGTACATATTTAGCATATATTACTATTGTAATGATTATAAAGCATCATGTATCGATTCAATAAACATATCTATCCCGTATATCATTGCAATTCAGTGTAATAATACAGCGTAATAATGTTTCCATACTATGTAATACAAATTCAAACACTCTGATTGATCCGTGCAAGCATACTGACTTTTTGACATATAATGGCTGACTACCGTAGAATACTAGTAGGCCATCTCGTCATTAACAATATAGGATAATGGTGGTTTTACACAACATGAAGAATTATACAATTCGCATATTTCTGGTAGTTTCAGATGTCGACTAAAACGTGAATGTTAAATAAATCCGTATAAATGTGAGACCTTATTTCAAATTCTCCCCACCTCAACTTCTCCGCGCACATAAATTTGTTCCATTCACATCTAGTGGCGATTTGTCATGGATTGTGAATAGATAACTAGGATATCGATGTTGTGACTCTACAAGACAGCTCGGGACAAATGAAAATTACTACACGAGTTAAATAAACCTGACACAGTTGTGTCATTCATGGTATATCCTCTATGTGTATTGCTGGTCTGCAAATATATACAATATTATTATACCTCGTGTAGTGATTCTATTTCATCAAGGTAATTGTATTACTCATTGTGTATCGTATATACATGTGGGTTTCATTAAGTAGTTCATTTAACCGGAAATGTGTTATAATGCGTTTAATTTAGGTCCGATTGTCCTCCCAGTGTAGTGTGATGTTTTGTTTGTTCATGTGCGCATGCGTCATGTATAAACATGGCGGCTTCTGAAATGTCAGACAGTCCGCCGTAAGTAGTTGATATCTACAAAAATTTTAAATGTGACAATAATTAGGGATTATAGAATATAACTACATTGGAAGTGTGATGAAACAGCTACTTGTGAATGAAGATATTTCTGGATGTTTTCAATACCCTGGACAGGAGCGATTTGCGATACAGTATTTTACAAAATGTTTGTTTTGTTCGGTATAATGATTAATATATACACCCAAGCATTCTCTTCGGGTCGACAAATCTGTATATCGACCTTGGCCCGAGTCATTATTTCTATAATATTTACTAGTGTTTCGTTGGTATTGTATTTCATGAATAAACATAACTGTTAAATTCAAGAGGCTATCAATGCCATATTGTACCCCTAAATCAAACTAGACATCCAACAAATAAAAAATTCAATTTATTTTGAATAGTATGCCCAAAGGTTATAACACGGTCAACATCAATCCCAAAAATGCCGGCGTAATAACCAAACATATTCCACGCTAAATTCGTGGACTACCTACCAAGTAGTTAAAACGTGCGATTCTTCCCGTACATTTTAACATTTCTTTACATTTCAGAGCAAACCTGAGTTAGCCATTTGGTAAAACTCGTTTGAGATCAGACCCATAACACGCCTAATGAAAACCTATTGTCAATACACAATATCAACACATCAATCTGTTTTAAATTTGACGAACTGAAGAGACAACAAAATATATTTCATAAATAGTTGTATTAACTAGAAAGCACAGGGCTAATACAAACAATGCAACAAGACATAGCTAGGTTCATGAGACGACGTACCGTAGTGGTACTAAGTGTCTGGAATGAGTAATCATACCATGTTTAATATAATCTGACCGTCACATATTGACACGTGACAAGAATCGAATCGACAAGATCGAGTCTGTCCCCTAACTACGCGATGACATTCTCCGAACATTCGAGCCGACTGCAGCACTGAATCCGTGATTCTGGACCGTCAACCACGCCACCAACGAGTCGGTGGAGACATAGAGAATAATGACTCTACTCGCATACATTGTTTACTCATTCTTGGAAAGCCTCAGGTGTGAATCTCCTACGGAATATTTGTTTCCCCTGACAGAATACTAATATAAGAATACTAGAAAAGTAATAATGTTAATTATTAATTGTAATTTCCCTGTTTAGATATTACTTTAGTGGAACAACACAGTATAAGGGACCTGGGAGTAAACATTGCCCATTATATGAAAGAACATTATGAGGTGCATAGTATTTGTGAAGATTATATCATGAACGCTAATTCCTGAATGCAGACAATGTGTGATTTTCCGTTCACTGTGAGATCTCGCATAATGCGTGAATGGCGCGTAACGAACTTCTGCTGCAAAATTCTAAAATTTAAAGTTCAATTTCGAAATGCGTATATATAGTGTTAAGATACCCTTACTTGATCAAAATGTGTATTGCACATTATTAAACGTGGCAATACCAAAAATCAAAGAAAGCTTAGAAAGAACTCCCGTGTGCTGAGAGTTTTGGAGACACATTAAAAATTAATTCAAAATTACTTATACTTGAGATATTGATGGGCACAATTTTTTATCTCAAAATTAATCAGGTCTCTGCATAGTCCTAGAATATCTATGTCGCAAGTCTCATTGAAATGTGATGATTAGTACTTGAGATATCAGATGAAAAGCTGAAAATTAACTAATTATGCTAATAAGGTGATTAATATGCACAAATATTTACCAAAAAACTAATTAGGTCTCTGCACAGTCCTCAAGTAACTATGTTTCATTGAAACGTGATCATTACTATTCGAAATATCAAAAGCTAAAGTTAATTAATTATGCAAATTAGGTAATTAATATGTACTGATATTACCCTAAAAACCATCAGGTCTGTGCAGTGTCATAGGA